GGCAAGGTGGGGGTTGGCCTTTTCTCCCTGTCAAGAAGTGACAGGACAAGAGGAAATGGCCACAAGATGGATCTGAGGAGGTTCAGGTTGGACATCAGAAAGGATTTCTTCCACTGAAAGGGTGGTTAAGCACTAGAACCGCCTGTCCAGGGAGGTAGTGGAGTCACCATTCCTTGAAATGTTCAAGAAATGTCTGGATTTGGCACTTAGTGCTGTAGTTTAACTGACAAGTTGGTGTTTGTTCAAAGGCAGGACTTGATAATCTGGGAGGTCCTTGCCGACTCAAGGATTCTGTGTTGGGTGCAGAAAGGAAAAGGATCATGGCTCAAATACCAAGAGACTATAGATGAGAGTTAAAGAATGATATACAATATTAAGTATAGAGTATAACCAAATACAAGGAGGATTGGGAGCAGTGTGTGGTAGGTGGGGTGGGGTTAAAAACATCTGAGTGGTTACATGATTACCTGAAGCTCTGTACTGTTTTTAATGTCCTTTATCAGCAGGTAGAAAGGAATAGGTTTCTATATGTATTTGACAAAAGGTGAGATAGAAGATTTTCTGGTGTCTTATTTTTTGTAACAGAGAAATAAAAGAAAAAGTATCTTTGGGTGTTTTTTTTTATTTGGGTTACATCCATCTTTCATTTGCACAATAAAAAAAGACATTTTAAAATTAACTACTGAAGTAATGGATTTTTTTCCCCCGGTCATATGTTTTTTGATGGCACTAATTGTAACATGAGGTCACAATTTATATACAGTAATCTACTTGGCTCATACTAAATAAGACAGATCTACTTTTTACTGTTATTGGTAGTGACATTGCCCATTTCTGCTAGGATGTGTATATCTAGGCATGTTCCTAAGGTGAAATGCCAGTTTTATCCAATCCAGGAAAGGTTGTTCTCTTTGTGTGTAATGACTAAGTCCTGTATAAAACTGAGCCTTTATTTAACTGTTTTGTGTCTTGTGCAAAGAACTTAGTGTTCCTTGTAGCTAAATGAAATAGGCTTACTATTACAAGTGTTTATAGCAATCTTAATTTCTCCTCAACATTTTTTAAAGACAAACAAAAAAAAAAAAAAAAAAGGAAGAAATCATTTGAAGTAATGTATAATTGAAATTCCAGGACTCTGGCAGAACTACGAAACTGAATATACATAATTACTTTGTAATGAGGCAGCATCTGTAGACAGTGACTGAACTGTAGGATTAAGCCCCTGTTAGTGTCAATTTTCATTTGTATATCCTGATCACTTCTGGGCCTCTATAGGAAAAAACAGTTAAGCACTCAAGTTAAAAGGGAACCATATTTTCCGGTAGACAAGTAAGAGGACTGTAGGAAATGTTAGAGGAACATACTTGCTTCGGACAAGCAAAGTAAATCTGTTTCACTTTTGCCTGTGTGTGTGGGTAATACCTCATTTTAGCTGTGCTTGGCTTTTCTCTTTAGTATAGAGCTATGTAAGAGCAGAATAGATTAAATCTAAGATTGCAGGACCCTACCACAATAGAATCCCAGCTTTCGTTTGAGTCCTTCTAGTGCTACTGTCAAAGAAATTATTGTACTTTTACGTAGATGTAAATTTGATTCAAACTCACATTTCAAATTTAAAAGCTGTAGTGCTGTATTCCTACTTTAAGCAGTATTTTCTTCTTACATTGAAAAAAATATCAGATTGTGTTGTGGGGGTTTTTATTTCAGATTCAGCTTTTAAATTCTAAAGAATAATGTCTTAATAATGCTTTTAAACTATCTTTAAAAGTAGTGTTCTAGAGTCATAAGCTTTCAGAAGAGAAACCTAAAACTTGAAGATTCAGAAGTAATATAGAGCTGACCAACTTGATTTGGTTTGCAAGTATATATGGAAGTGTTGGCTGTATTGATTGCAAAGGTCATAGAATTGTGTTCCTAGGAAAAAAATAAACTGCTTTTGCCACCTTGTCAAGTCTTAAGGCATTCTATGTTTTGTCTCGTGCAATTCACTTTTAATGTGAAAACTAGTTTCACTAAAAATGTGTATTTGCATAATTTGCATAGAGCTGCCCTAACACAAAAAAGAAAATGCAAATCATCTTTGTTTAAGCCTGGCAAAAATTACATAGGTATGTTTATTGTGACAGAAACAATAATGTTTTAACTCTTAGTTTTGTTCAATTCGCAATAGTAGTAAACTGTGTCTTTGATAAAGCTATGGTTTATGCATGAAGAAAGCAGAGCCTGTTGTGAAAAATAAGTAAATTCATGGTTGGCTATCTTAGCCAACTTTGATCGTTGTTTTAAATGTATTTAGCAATGATTTCCTACAGGATGCATTAAAAAAAAAAGAAAAGGATTGCTTCATTTTGTTCTGTGGGTAGTCTTATGTCTGCCTGTTGTAGGAGAATTGATTGTTTTTCATAGAACAGTGATCTTCACCTGGAAGCAGTTGTGCTTGAAACACTATTCCTCACTTATTAGCTGAGTGCTTCCCATTTCTGTTACAATGTTGTGCTATTGTTTCCTCCTCGGGCCTCTTAGAGATTTAAATAATGCTTAAGAGCCAGTGGCACAAAGGTCATTAAGGCTCTAGTTTTGTCTCTACTTTGCTTCACTGCCATCAATGGGAGGAATTAATCACTTCCTGTAAGACTGCTTAGACTTAAAACTTAATTTTTAGTATCTCTTTTATTAAAAGTTTTTATCTTCTTTTTAAGGCCTTGGACAGGAAGGAAGTATTCTAAGAGAACTTACGCTGCATTTTAGAATGAGTGATTTTCTTAAATCCTCAGGACTGCACATTCAGTCTTCTCGTGTGTGTGTGTCTTGCATTTGATTTCAAAGCGTGCTATTTGGCATGTATAGTAAGAGTGTTTGCATAATACAGCAGGAAAATAAAGAGAAATGAATTGTACAGGAATAATTTACATAGAGTTCCATATCTCTTACATAATTTGTTCAAGGACTAGAATCAAGACAAGCTTAGCTTCATAATTCTTCCTTCCAGGGTGAACTTGGGAGGCATCTATTAAGTATTAGTTTTCAATAGTTTTCGCTATCCTGTTTTCAGTTTGATTTCCAAAGGCCAGTATATTCAACTTGTCTTCATTTCCTGGTATTATCTGAAACTTAATTTTTTATAGCAGATTTGAAAGAGACTTCCATTTGTCTTATGGTGTAGTGTGCACTTAGCAAGAAATTCATGCAAAGGGGAGTTCTTGTTTATCTGGGGAGAAAGGCTCTCCCTAGAGTTTACAGTAGAAGCTGGGAAGCTAAGCACAAAACGTTTGCAGAACAGATTATTTTTTTCTGTGTTTGAGTAAATATGTAAGCTCATGGCTTTCCACCATTTTTTTATGTCAGAGAAAATTTTATATTAATGAAGCTTACTTGATTGCATATGTAAATGTAGGAAAAGCAGATGGATTTTGTTGTTGAACTTGTTCAGAAAAACAGGCCTCCATTCTGATAACATTTTCCAGCTAGTGTTTACTAGCATTCATTTAAATTTGTACAGTGTAGTAAAATCTAGCAGATTTAATGCTCTTTAAGAATCATGTTCACTGACTAATCTGATTTTCTGTCTTTTTTTTCTGTCAGCTTTGCAGTATAGTCATTACAATTTTGCACTTTTTCTGCAAGATTCCTTGTTAGTCAAAGATAGTTTTTACTATAAACTTTCCTCATTAGAATTAAATCCATATTCCTGCACAAAAACCAGACACATTAAGATGAAGGTCAGGTGTAGTGGTGAAGAGCAGATGGTGGCAGATACCCTCTGGTCCAGTCAAGTATTCAACATGCATTTTTACTTCTATATTACCTGCAGTCCAGTAGACCTGCCAATGCCTAGATACTCATTATTGAATTGAATAATATTTATTTAATTACAGAAATAATAGTTTTGTAAAATATATAATTTTTACATAGTTAAACCAAAGTAAATCAGTGATTATCTCTTTTCTTCAAATAGAATTTACAAGCCAGTAGTTGGAAAATTTACAAAATATCACTGGCCCATAACTGAAGTTTAATGTTCTGATCTGAGTTTACTGAGGCCAGAGGTAGTGCTCTACTGATTGGGAGCTTTTAGTTGGATTAAGTGACCATATGCTTTTATTCTATATGATGAAATAGGCTTGACTTTTGAAAGGGTCAAGGATTATGCTGTCTTATGTAAATAACTCTCAAGAATTTCATCATATGAATATCTTGCTTGAAGAAAGCTACAAATATTTTATTTAAGTTCTATTTTTCTTCTGCTTTGGCTTTGGTGTATTAAGGCAGTGAAAATATATTTAACAAACAGTAAAATTCTCAATTGAGTCAACCAAAAATTTAAGATCATTAAATTTTTTTTCATAGACTGTACTGGATAATATGACAAGAATTTGGGAAGGGGTTTTGCTTTGTTATAGTCATATGTATCTCAAGAAAGTCCATAGGAAAACTGATTTTATCTACTTTATCTTTGTTGCTATGGAAATTAGGACTGGAATTATATTATGTATCATTTACATGTAGGAAGTGTCTGGGATTTTGGTGTTTATTGCTTTGAAGAAATCAGTTCTGTACTAGAATTGGTTTAAGATTTTTTTTTCTATAATGGTGAGTATCTCTTCATGGATGTAGTGTAGTTTGAGTACTCAAAAATGAGAAATTCTTTTACATTTATAAATTTATGAGCATATGTACACGTCTTATTTTTATACACGAAGATGTATAAACAGAATGGTTCAAACAATTCTGTTTCATTGTTTGCACTGCTTGAGAGTTAGTGTCCATATATGAACACACAATTCAGTTTATAGCTGTGCCAGGAATTTTTCCAAGTCTGTATCTCCAAATATTAAGAAAAAATAAATATTGCAGTTGTTAGTCATCATCAATTTGAGTTTTATTTTTTTCCTGGAATTTAATAGTTATTTACAGTAAGCAAATACTTCTGTACTAACTATTGCATCAGTAAGTTACCCAGGAAATTGCACTTTACTTTCTGATTTGTCTTCCTATTACAGGCAAACTCAAATCTCTTGCTTCCTGCATCATCTCTGTCACCACACTCCAAGCTAAGACTGCCGGGTGCTCTGAGTGTTCCACTGAATCCTCTGTATTCTTTCACTGCTGAAAATGGTAAGTTTCTTTACTACTTCACTCTTTGCAGGGAAAGGGTGATAACTTCTATGAGGATTATTTTGTTTTCTGCCTTTTAAAATTTTACTATGCAGCTCTTTCAGAGACTAATGCAGTTTTGTTATAAATGATATTGTTTATTAAGTGCAGTGTGATACAATGCTGATGCATGTTTCTTTGTAATACTTCTTTTTTTCTTTAAGCTGTACACCTATTTATTAGTTCTGTAAGAGGATGACATTGCCAGCTTTTCTTAATTTAATATTTGGATAATATTTTAATGCTTACTAAAGTATCTTAAACCTGGTCACTCAAAAAGAATAAATTGAAAAGCATATATACTACTATAGAACCATAGTGCTTGATAGTTTGTTTGCAGTTGTTTTTAATCTATTTTTAGGTATTTTTTTCCTAAAGATATTTTTTATTGAAAGATTTTGAGAAAAAGTTAAGTAATGCAATCATGTACATTTGTGATGCTTACTTTGCTAATAATATCAGTTTCATTGCTAATCGCAGTATTTAATAATAAAATGTATAATTTCATGCCATTTTCTTTTTTTCTGGGCACCTGTAAAATAAGACAGAATATTGGCACCTTAATTTCAAAGTGTTTTTATTTTGTATCCTTGAGAAGAGTAAAAAGAATTCCAGAGGGAGGGTGGAATGTATAATGATATAAAAACAGGTAATAGAGATTTAAAATGTAGATAGTAAAGATAGGAATAATCTCTATAATTATATAGAATTATCTCCTAAAGGCAGACAATTTTTTTCGCAAATGAAGTTATGATTACTTTTTCTGAGCAGCTGGGGAAATAGTCCTTAGCATGGTCTAAAACATTGACCACTGGTCTCAGAATCACTCTTAGTCACTAATTCACAATGCAAATGGCCATACACCAACTAACTTAAGTATTTTTATTTTCTACCTAAACAAAAGAGCTTGGAGCCATAATAATATTCCTCTGTTGCTCAACAGATGCATGTTATTTCCACAGTGTGTAAATCTTACAGAGGCAGAACACATATGCTTACATGGTGTGACTACTTAAAATAAGTGGACTGACCCTTTAAAGAGCATTAACAAATACTTTTAAGTTGTTCTACATGGCTATTGCTCAATATCTACATGGATATTGCTCAAACCAAGGAATTTTATTTTCTTGAATTTTACTTTATGTGGAAGCACAGATAGAGGTGTTGATGGAGACTTCCTAAATAGCATGAGCAAACGAACATAGGTGTAGGTTACAGTTGTTGATGAACACTCTCAGTGTTTTAGTTTCCAAAACTGGCCTGTACTTCCAAGATGATTCACAGGTACAGGATAGTATTTATAAAAGGGAAGCATAGTATAAAACAAAATACAGTAAAGAAGAAGCCATGAGAACAGGAAGATATTTAAGGGAAGACAACCATAAAAATACTAGTGGGCTACAATTGAAATCAATTTTACTGTAAGAAAGTCTTTTAAAATTGTGAATTACTTCTCTGTCGTTTTTTGGGCCTTCAAGTTGTTCTACTGTGGTAGATTTGTTTCCAGTGAAACATGAAAAACATTTACTCATCTGTTTCATCATTCCCCATTGGTTATAAACTGTCAAGATAAGTGCTCATGTTCATAGTGCCGAACTGCCACTTATATTTTGCTTTTGAATAATAGAAAGTCTGTACTTAAGCACATCTCTTGATTTATTGATTGTTCTGGAAGGACAGAACCTTTATTTTCTGTGTTGGTTTTATATACAAAATATATTTTCATTTTGTACTTAAGTTAATTGGGATGTTGAATTTTTAATAATTATCTGTACTAGAGATCCAGCAGGTGGTTGCATATTCCTGAAGGTTATGTTGACAGTTCAGTTCTGTCACCTTTTGCTGTGTATTCAGTGCTTCTTGGGGCAAAATACAGAATTCCCATTTAGAGGTGTAAACCTCTGTTAGCAATATATTTAAACACATAACTGGTGTATGTGAATGCTCTAGTAGTTTGGTAAGTTGGGAGCTGATATCTTGTAGCCTGGGCAGTGTAGTAGCCTGAATATATGCAGCCCTTTCTTTTTAAAAGACAGTTTAATTGTCTCGGTCTTGTCTGAAGCAGGAAACAGTAGAAAAACAGTGTTTCCATCTATGTGCTATATGGGCAGTAGCAGTAATTCTTTTCATATCCAGATACATTTGCAGAATTAGCTGTATGTGACTTTGTAATATAATACTTCAAATAAAAGTAATATTCACTGCTATGGCTTTTAAATATGTGTGTTCATTTTGACAAATGGGTTCTGTACCCTGACATATCGTGTGTTTTGGCTTTTCTTCAAGTGCATAATTTCACAGGTTTGTAGGCTTTAATGAAGCCCCAGTCTTATTCTGCTATTTATTCTGCTGTTTATTCTGCTGTTTATTTTGCTGTTTCCCCACTTCCCTCAAGATCAGTTAGCATATAGATGCTGAGGCAAGACTGCCTTTGTTTCCAACCAGTTTGCTCTAAATAAAGTAATTAATTGTTTAATCATCTGATAGCTTCAATATCTTTCTCAATGACAGAATATTCTTTTTGTGAGATGAGTAAAGACAAGATCATGATATTATTGACCATGGAGCCTAACCTTCCTCCTTAAAGTGGATTGGTTTAGAGCTCAGGACTGTGTCCATTTGGGTTTTGAGTATCCCTAGGGATAGAGATTCCAAAACATCTCTGGACAACCTATTACAATATTTGACTATTCTCACAGGAAAGGATTTTTAATTACCTTTAAATTGTATTTTGTGTATTTCAGTCTGTATTGGTGTGTGGGATTATTTCTCCCTTAGTTCAGGACTTGGCATTTCCCCTTGTTGAACTTCAAGAGGTTCTTGTTGGCCCATTTGCGTGGCTTGTCAAGGCACCTCTGAATGGCAGCATATCCCTCTGCTTTATCAGCCTCTCCTCCCAGATTTTTATCATCTTCAAAGTCTTTGAGGGCATACTCAGTCCTATCATCCAGATCATTAATGGAGAAGTTCAAGTGTGGACTCCAGTATCAACCTGTGGAGTGCACCACTGGTCTAAAGTCTCCAGTTAGATTTTCATGTGAGTAGTTACAAAACTCTAACTAAACAGCCAACTTCCAGTCTGCTGCACTGTCTGTTTTACATAGTGCACACCTGAGCTGTTTTATTGTGAGAATGTTATGGGGGACAGTGTAGAAATCTTGCCAAATTCAAGGTTAACAACATCTACTGCTTTCTCATTGATTCTATGCAGTGCTCTTCAGGAGATAGTTCTGTCAAGAGCAAGACAGAAAAACACGACTTTTTTTCAAACAGTAATTAGCAAAAGAAGTGCCACAAAGCAGGTAGAAAACATGAATACACTTATTTTTATGTATTGCGTATAAAGCACTTCAGTAGAGACATTTCATCAGATTTTCAGATTTAGCATAATTAATTAATGAAGATGTGTGTTGTGTGTCTTCCTCTCACAAAGATTGTTTTAAATTTGAGGGAAAGGCATGGAACTTAGGTTTTCTTGCTGTCTGTCATGAGAGCCTATTAGCTGAAATTTTTCATCAAGAGTCTGACTCATTTTACCACATCAGGATAATTTTTGTGTCTGCTTCAATATAGTTGTAGCTCCGCTCCTAGCTATTTCAATAATTTGAAAAGTTTGCTAGATGTTTGTCTTTAGAGAAAGTCATCCTCTTTGAGTTTTAAAGCTGTAATTTAGATTCATGAATTCTTAAGGGTGTTCAGTACTGAAAGGAATCTGTCCCTCAAGGTTTGTTATATTTAAGGTTGCTGAACTTCTTTTCCTCTTCGTATCCAATTTTTTTTTTCTTGGTAATACAGTTTGATTAAGATGTGTCTTTGATAGTGAGAACTGAGGTTTTACCTTGCCTGTGCTGTATAGCTCTGGCTATGCTCCTGCTTAGTGTTGGTTTTATCATACCTGGCCCATAGTGCTGTTCTGCAGCACTGCACTGTAGCATTATCCAGGACTTTGTCTTAAACATTCCTGTCTCTTTCTTCTCATACTCTCCTCTTTCATAACTTCTTCCAGGATGACCCATTTCCTAGTTGTTATTTTTTAAACAAATAGGGAAATAGCAAAAGCTCCAGATTTTCAATTGCTCATTCTATCTGACAGACATTAAAATCGCCTCTGGTTTTGTTTGCCTTTCCTCCTTAAGACTGTGAGCATCTTTGGACAGTGAAATCACCTTCCTATGAGACACTGTTTTGCCAGTCTGTGGCATGCCATGAAAGAAATATCCGGCATCTTTGGGCTTTATTCAACAGTGATTGTTCAGGACGTGCTTTCTAAAATAAGTTTTAGGTTTCAAGTCATCGTAATTAACAGTGACCCTAATTGTTAATTATGTGGGAGATTGAAGCTCGGCTATAAATACTACACAGATCTGTTCACTGAAAGTTGGACTTCAATAAAACCAGTTAATTAAACTTGCTCTTAAAAATTAATTACATATGTGCTAGAAACGTGATGGTTCTTGTATCTTTAAAGAAAATCTCAGAAACAGAAAACACAACATTTTGGCAGGGTTGAGAACAATTGGAAATTTTCTCTCCATTAACACAACTGACAGTCAAAGGTGTTTTCCACCTATATAAAGGGAAAGCTTCAAAGCACTCTTTATTGCTGTCTAAAGATTAACAAAACTGACTTCATATTTAAGTCCTTTGTTACATTTAGTTTGCTATTGAAAACTTCTTCTTTAGGTCTCAAGCAGATGGTGAAAGAGATTTCTACATCAAAGATATCAGTTAAATGTTCTTAAAATACCATTTTTATTCTTGGGATTTATTTTTGGAATCAGAAAAAGGAGGTACACCAAGTAGCAAAATTCACATTGTGCAGAGATGCTGCAGAAACACATGGCAAAAGTTGCAGTCTCATATGTATGTTAAATCATTGATTTCCCCCCCACCCCGTATTTCATATTTTCTCCCCAACTCTGTAACATCCATCCTTCAGTACTGCAACAGCCCTGGAGGAA